GGCGGCGGCGGCGGGCGGCAGCCTGGTGCCCGCGGCGCGCCAGCAGCACTGCGCGCAGGTGCGCAGCCGGCGCCTCATGAAGGAGCTGCGGGACATCGCGCGCCTCAGCGACCGCTTCATCTCCGTGGAGCTGGTGGACGAGAGCCTGTTCGACTGGAACGTGAAGCTGCACCAGGTGGACAAGGACTCGGTGCTGTGGCAGGACATGAAGGAGACCAACACCGAGTTCATCCTGCTCAACCTCACCTTCCCCGACAACTTCCCCTTCTCGCCGCCCTTCATGCGGGTGCTCAGCCCGCGCCTGGAGAACGGCTACGTGCTGGACGGCGGCGCCATCTGCATGGAGCTGCTCACGCCGCGCGGCTGGTCCAGCGCCTACACGGTGGAGGCCGTCATGCGCCAGTTCGCCGCCAGCCTGGTCAAGGGCCAGGTAAGCGGGCGGGCGGGCGGCTCGGGGGGCGCGCGGGGCGGGCCCCTCAGGCTCCCGGGGCGCGTGGGGGGCGCCCTCGAAACCTGGCTCCGAAGGGGAGACATCCCCCGGGCGCCTCCGCTCGACTTGCCTGAGCGTTTTCTCCCTGGCCCGCTTCTCCATCCCGTCTCTCCGCGTCCCCGCCTCTCCAGAATTCGGGTTCTCCTTCCGCACACCCTCCTGTCTCTCCTCCTCTGTTCCNCCCCCAGTAGCTCAGGGATGCCCTGCGAGTTGGGTGGGGGGGCGGTCTCTGCAGAGGGCCAGCTGCCTGCTGCCAATCTGCTCGCCGGCCCTGCTTCCTGACCGGCATCTAGTGCAAGGTGAAAATCCTGCTCTTGAGAAATTTGACTGGCGAGGCAGAGGTGTGGTGTGAGTTGTTCTGTAAGTGACAAGGCCAGACTCCCTCCAGGAAATGCCTGGGACCTGCCTCTCACCAGGACCATCAGCTCCCCCAGAGATCTAGCGCTCTCAGACCTGTGAACTTGCTTCAGTTTCCTCTTGCCCCCAGGGCTTAAACCCATCATCAGGGTTAAAGATGTTTGACTGCTGAAATCGCGGGCAAGCCTGATGTCTTCTCGCCTACTGCCCCAGATGGTAGCTTTGCTGCAAAGAACCCCCAGAGAACCTGAGAGCAGAGCATGAATGAACCTTCTGAAATCCCTTCCCCGAGCTGCAGGCAGAGGTGTGGTGGTTTTCTCTTCCCAAGCTATACGCTCTTGATCACGTTCAGGTTGGTTGATGTTTTCCTAAATCGCTATGGAACATTACTTAAAAAAAAAAACAAGAACATAGTTTTATGTGGGTGTGTTTTAGGTTTATGGAGAATCACTGTTTTGTTTAGGAGACCCCAAATGACCTCGATGTGATCTTTCTACAGCCAGCATCTTAGAAGCCATCCGTCCCCTGTCACCTGCCTCTTCAGGATCTTTCACACTAATCAAATAATGCTTGTTCTGCCAATTTCGCTAGAGGTGGAGCCCTTGGGATTCCACACCAATCGCTTTGGCACTTAATTCTTGACTGAGGTCTGTTTTCACCAAGTAACTATCCTGCTAGTCCAGCTTTCTTGGGGTTTAGCTTCCGCTTGTTTCTCCAGTTCGAAACAGCATGGATGTGGCAGCTTTAGAAAGGCGAGGTTTAACGCTTTAGCATCAGAAATTCACCCTGAAGCTTGTGGTTTAGTGCTGGCTCTGATGTGATGGGAGTCTGTGATGGAATACAAGCCACGGGGGTCAGAGGGGGTCCCGTTTATATTATCGGGATTCATACAAATGATGGGGAAGAATTTTTCACAGAAATGCATCTGTTATTGGTATCAGAAAGCTCCCCTAATCAGAACTCTCTAGAACACTCTCTTACCATCTTTTATCCTTCACAGGGACGACTCTGGGGACATGGGGCGGAGGAATATCATTTTGCCTTATAATCATAGAATCATATCATTTATATTTGGAAGCGATCCCAGAGGTCACGTGGACCTCAGCCTGCATTTTGAAAGATGCAGGAAAATAAAGATTTCAAATGACAAGTAAGGACTTTTTTTTTCTAAGATCTGTCTTAGTAAGTTGTTAAATAAATATTTGCCATGTTCACATCAATGCTGTGAATGATCGTTCTGTTGGTGCCTGGGCACTTCTATTAAATTTGGCAAGTCCTTGGGTACATATTTATTTTCTCTGTAACCCAAATTGAGAATCTTCATACAGTTGGCAAACTAGAGACCTCATCGTTGCAAGTAATTATCAACATTTTTATTAGTTTCAAAATCTTAGTTGAACTCAGCACCTTCCCCACCTAGCATATTGTGTTATACTACCTGTTCTAAAGTCTAGTGTGTAAAATATCTGAAAGGAAGAGGAGCACTCAGAAATTTATAAAAATACCAGTTCAGTTCCTTTGCACTTTTCCTGCTGACTTCAGCATCCAAGAGAGAGTCGTGTAGGGCACGCACAAACCACTGGAAATGCAGTGTCAGGGCCGGAGGGATGGTCGCTCACCAGCGTCTCAGGCTTCTGTGCAGGGCAAGATCCGATCCGGGTGGTGTTTGGGGGCCTGTGCATTAGGTGCCTTTCCTGCTTTTGTAAATTTCCAACCTACAGGTTGTTCATTGCACGTACCTTGGTTACTGAATTATTTCCACAGTTAAAGGTAATAGGCTTTGGAAAACAATCAAAATACCTGATGAGGTTTTCAAAGAGAACCAAAAGTGCTACCAAACCAATAATTACTTTAAAAGGCAGAATGGTTCCATTCCTTCCTCTCTTTGTTGGCACTTTCTTTTTTAGGATGCATTTTTCTTACTTGACAAAGTTAGAAAAGGCTCCTTTTCCTCTTTCGCAACTGCTAAGCTTAACTTTCTGAATTGGGGATACCCTAAAGTCGATTTTGTTTCTCTGCCTGTAGACACGTCATAAAATACTTTTAAGGGTCATATTAAGAAGAGATCTGCTTCACCATTTTGTGTAGAACGCTAAATGTTTGGGTTTATCACGTGGTGTGACAGATCAGTCATTTCACGAGTCATTTCACAAGTCATTTCATGTTACCTAACTCTTGGGGGCCCCATATTATCAACATCTCTGGTGTGCTGCTTTAGGAATTTTGTCTGTTTTTAATTAACTTACCAAATATTTCCTCTGTATATATTCTGTGTAGAGATGGTGACATACATACCTTGCCTATTTATTACCAAATCCTCTTCTGACTACAAAGAGACATTTTAGGTTACTCTTCGTTTGTGATATTAAATGAAAACTCTCCATGCCTTGGAGGGTCATGCCTAGGCTGTGCCCCGTGTGTACCGGCTCTCACGCCCAGAATAATTGATGATTCTACAGATGCCCTCTACTTGCACTTGTCTGAGCAGAAGGTTCCCCAAAATGAAGGTTCCCCAAAATGACTTGCTGTTGTTGTTCAGTTGCTCTGTTGTGTCTGACTCTTTGTGACCCCATGGCCTGCAGCACACCAGACTTCCCTGTCCTCCACCATCTCCCAGAGCTTACTAAAACTCATGTCCATTGAGTCAATGATGCCAACCAGCCATCTCACCCTCTGTCATCCCTTTCTCCTCCTGCCTCAATCTTTCCCAGCATCAGGGTCTTTTCAAGCGAGTTGGCTCTTCACATCAAGTGGCCGAAGTATAGGAGCCTCAGTTTCAGCAGTGCTGGAGTCAAATTGGCTGGAGGGTGCGTTAAGCTGGGGTTCTGTTTCACGTCAGCGCACCTCCTGAGTGGCCCCTTTTTAATCAGTGAGACATCACCTGGGCGGGGGACCAGATGGCGCTTGAAAGAGAGTTTCGTAGTCCTCCTCTGTCCCGTTGGTGCCAACCACGGGACTCAACCCAGTAGGAGGTTGATGCATTCGCAGCAGCGGCAGCTAGCATGTACTGTTTGCTCTGTGCCAAGCTCTGGGCATCTGAGCATTAAGGCGATCAGCTTACCCGGTTCCGCTGCTCACCTTACAGGTGAGGCAACCTCAGCTCCACGTGGTCAGGGGAAGTGAATGCAGCTTCGTGTGCTAATACCAGCAATGACTGCGAGGCTCTGAGCACCAGCCCATGTTGGTGATGGTTGTCCGAGACGACAAAGTCATGCCCAGGCCAGCTAGGATCCTGGTTGTCTCCAGCTGGTGCTTGGAGGTGACCTATGTGGTCACCTTTTGTGTCCACAGAGGACAGGGACACAGCCATCCGTCAGCAGAAGAAAGAATAGTGAAACACCTTCAGTTCTCAGGGTTTGAACCAGAAATAGGTGAGCGATTCTGGGACAATTGAGTTTCCTGACAGCAGTCATTTCTGGAATTTTGGAACACAGCAAAGTGGCAGGTGTCCAGACTTGTAAACGTGTGATGAAGAAGGAGCAGGCCCTGCAGATCAGCTTTGTTTGATGATAAAGTGCATCTCGGACGTCGACTTTAGGGCTTCAAGGGTTCTGCATCATGGGTGTTCCTGAGTCTGGCGCACACACACACACACACACAGAGCCCATCTTCAGCACTTCTTCCAAAGCACTCAGCCTGGAAGTAGCTTTTTACTTGTCACTGCACGATCTCCATGGCCTCTCAGGTGGCTCAGTGGTAAAGAACCTGTCTGTAGCGCAGGAGTCTCGGGTTCAGGCTCTGGGTGGGGAAGATCCCCTGGAGAAGAAATGACAACTCACTCCAGTATCCTTGCCTGGAAAATCCCATGGACAGAGGAGCCTGGCGGGTTCCAGTCCGTGGGGTCACAAATGAGTCAAACACAACTCAGCAACTAGAAGCAAGCAAACACAATCTCAAAAAAGTAACCAAGAACAGACAGGTGGGTTCCTGAAGTGTACTGGCTTCCGAGCTATTGTAATTCACACAACATTTTGAAAGCGCTGTGTGGGTTTGCTAAGGCTCTGACCCAAAGTACCGCAGTCTGGGGCGCTCAAACAACAGGCTTTCACTTCTCGCCTTCTGGAGACCAGAAGTCTGAGAGCAAGGTGACAGCAGGCTTGGCTTCTTCTGAGGTGAGGAGGATGTTCTCAGGCCTTCTGCTTGGCTCGTGGACGGCCGTCTGCTCCCTGTGTCCCCGCGTGGCCTTCCTTCTCTCTCTCTGTCCTCACCTCCCCTTCTTGTAAGGACACTGGTCTTACTGGATCAGTGAAAGTGAAGGTCGCCCAGTCGCGTCCGACTCTGCAACCCCGTGGACTATACAGTCCATGGAATTCTCCAGGCCAGAATACTGGAGTGGGTAGCCTTTCCCTTCTCCAGGGGATCTTCCCAACCCAGGTCTCCCACATTGCAGGTGGATTCTTTACAAGGGAAGCCCAAGAATACTGGAGTCGGTAGCCTATCCCTTCTCCAGCGGATCTTCCTGACCCAGAAATTGAACCGGGGCCTCCTAGCATTGCAGGCAGATTCTTTACCAACTGAGCTATGCGGGAATCCCCTATGTTACTGGATCAGGGCCCACCCTAATGACCTCCGTTTGCATGATCACCTCTGTAAAGACCCTCCAGACACCGTTAGTGACCTGAGGTGCTCCAGGGTAGGACTCCGTTCTGTGAGTTTCGGTGGGATCACTGCGCAGGCCCGTAACAAGCCCAAACAGGAATTTCGTAACCAGTGCAACCTCTTTCCTCTCGAGGCTGTTGCTGGTTTGCCGAGTAACGTAAACGAAGCCCACCTGTGTGCACACAGGGCCGCATTCAGCGGGGCCCGCAGGGGACAGGGACCGTGGCCCCTTTAAAGGGAAGCTGGGAGGAGCGGGCATATAAACAGTGACAGCGGGGCGTGGCTCAGGCGATGTGACTCACCCAGGAGAGCGGATCTATGTGTTTTGGGACGGGGACGGGGGTTGGGGTGGGGGGAGGTGTCTTATGAGTCCCTGTGTCGCTGTATCCTGTGCCCACATGCAGGTGACGGAGGTCATCACCCATGCCGGATGACTCTGCGGCTGGAGGTCTCCGTGTGCCCGATGGTTCGGAGGAAAAAATAGCTTGTTCCGCTATCAAGTAGGGCGGCCGGGAGGACACGAACAGGGCTCTGCATCCTAAAATAGTCCCACGCCAACTTGGCGAGCTCGGCAGCGAGGCTGCCCATCCCGGGACTGACGATGCAGTTCAGAGCAGTAGTGACTCACCTCACCCTGAGTTGTCGCCTTTGAGGATCAGACAGAAAGAGGATGTAAACGCCTTTCTGTTTACTTGTCTGGTTTATAGTAAAGACTATAAAAGGTTTGCTTTCCTTTTTCAGGGTCAGGAGAGTTTAGGGGCTTTTGTTTGGTTTTTTTAATGGAACGTGCCAACCCAAACAAGAAGTTGAAGTTTGTTTTAACCCAGAATCCTGCCCTTTCTCATCCCCAGGAACAGGCATGTGTGAGTGCAGGTTTAGAAGGAAAGCAGCCTCAGTGGTGCCACTCTGGGGGCAGTGAAGGGACCAGACAAATCACTTTCATGTCCATTTAAAAGATAAAATTTTAAAAAGCCACTGATAGTGGGTTCTTTGAGCCACATGTCAAATCTTTGAATCCTAGATTCTTACTGGGTTGATAAAGTGGTGGGAAGGGCTTGACCGGTGGTTCAGTGGTAAAGAATCTGCCTGCCGATGCAGGAGCTGAAGGAGACACTAGTTCAATCCCTGGGTCAGGAAGATCCCCTGGAGGAGGGCATGGCAACCCACCAGTATTCTTGCCTGGAAAATCCCATGGATGGAGGAGTTTGGTGGGCTACAGTCCATGGGGTTACAGAGAGTCAGACATGACTGAAGTGACTTCACACACCCACGCACGCAAGGGAGTAGGGAGATGGGATGGGATGGGGAGGGGTAACTCCGGTCCTCTCTGCTGGAGGTGGTCAGCCCCGGGTTCATTAGATGCTCTGGGAAGCCTGTCAGTTATCCCAGTGCTCACGTGTGTGCTCAGTCGCTGAGTAGTGTCTGACTCTTTGCGACCCCATGGACTATAGCCCACCAGGCTCCTCCGTCCATGTGATTCTCCAGGCAAGAATACTGGAGTGGGTTGCCATTTGCACCTCCAGGGCATCTTCCCAACCCAGGAATCAAACCTGCATCTCCTGGGTTGGCAGGCAGGTTCTTTACCACTGAGCCACCTGGGAAGCCCATATCATTCCAATGCCAGGTCCCCCTCCCCGAAGATTCAGATTTCTCATGGATAAGATCAGGCCCTGGTAGAGTCCTGCTGGAAAATCTCCTACTTGATTGTAATGAACGAGCTGGGCTGGACCAGAA